TTAAGTTATAATTCTTCATCCATCTGTGTTATTCTCTTTGGAATTTGCCCTTCTGCTTTGTCTGTGGTCTTGTTTCTGTTTTTGAAGTTTTGCTTAAGCTTTTTATAATTATACATTAATATTTTATTGCCATATTGTCAAGTATTTTTAATGTTTACTGTTAATTTTTTACCCATACTGAGATTTTGAACCCATGGCCTCACACTTGCCAGGCAATTGTTCTACCACTTGAGCCACGCCTCCAGTGTCTTTTTTTCTTTCTTACTTTAGTTATTTTTCAGATAGGGTTTTGCATTTTTGCTCATAGCCAGCCTTAGAAGGTCATATTCCTATTTATGGCCTACCACATAGCTGGGCTTATAAGCATTTGCCACCACATACAGCCTATTTGTTGAGATGGTGGTCTCACTAACTTTTTGCTAGGGCTGTTCTCATACCACAGTCCTCTTGAGAGCTTGTTTGGAGGTTCTAGCAGGGGAGCGCAACTACTTGTATACACTTGGCTGAAGAATGGTCCTCCTTTATTGAGAATGGTCGTCCTCTTCAACCTAGCATGCAGCTTCGGGAGGGACGCACACAGAACAGTGAGGGAGGAAGGGGACACCCGGCTAGCCAGCCAGATCAGCCCAATCAACCCTGGCAGTCAGTGGGGTGACAGATGTTGCGGCCAGATTGCCCTTACATCCTACAACCACAATCCTCTTGATCCTCACCTGTGCAGCTGGGATGACAGGTGCTCATCATCATGCCCGGCTATCAACAGGGCCTCACTTTTTGCCCTGGCTGCAGTCTTCCACATTTCTGCCTCCCAAGTAGCTGGGATTATAAATGTGAACTTCCATGAGTGGTGTTTGCTTTAAAACTTTTAATATATAGATAACAGTTTGGTGACTTCAAATATTACATGAGTTTCTTATTTTTGTGTCCTTCCATAAAAGTCATCAGTACAAACTTACAAGGTGGCAAGGCCACCGAAAGAAATTCTGACTCCATTTTCTTGAATTGCTAAGTTAGTAGGCTCTAGTATATTCAGACAGTCCCTAATTTATTATGTCTTAATATTTTTCAACTTTTTTTTTTAGAAACCACAGTACCTTTCTTTAATAAATCTGTCCATCTATGTAGCCTGCATGAAGTCATCTTCTTTGCTCTGTGTAATTTGCCCATTTATAGCTTTAAAAGTAGTCATGAAATAGTCTCGTTCTTCATTGCTGGGTAGGGGCACAATATCAAACCTTTTTTTTTTAAGTTTGATTTTTTGATTTTATTGTTTTTACATGGCATGAAGATGATGCATATGCAGTAGAAACTGTACTTCAGATTTTGATCTTTTCTTGAGGGTGCAGCTCTCATACAGCCTTGTAAATTATAATGGGAACCAACTGATACAAAACAGTATACTATGTAGCTAAGCTATGATATTTGCTAGGGTAGGTGTATTAAATTATTGTAACTGAATGTAAACCCATTCAATGTAAACCCATTTTATGATGGGTTTATCAGGATGTCATCCCTTCATTAAGTCAAGGAGCACATATATTTTTCTGTGACTCAAAGATAGAATTTAGAGTTTCTAGAGGGTGGAGTGCTAGCATATCTTAGACCGTGTTTTTTGTCATTTCTTTTAGATAGCTTTTGGGTAGGAGCTAGGTACCAGATAGCTGAGATTGTACTCATTTGCTTGGGAGATCTTTGAATAGGTGCCATGATGAATAGGTGATATTGGGATACTTTTAGGGAAATTGAGGACTCTGGCTAGAACTTGCTCAGTTACCCTATAATTGTGTTAGGGTTCTCCCAAGAAATAGAGCCAATAGGAGATAAGGATGAGGAGTTGGCTCATGAGATTGTGATGGCTGACAAGATTTGTGGGGTGACTTGGCAAGTTGGAGACCTAAATTTGCTGATGGTACAATTTTTATCTTAAGGCTGGTAGGCTCAACACCCAGGAACAGACTATGTTTCAGTTCAAGTCTGAATGTAGGAAAAAAACAGTGCTTTAAAGGCTGTGAAGCAGGAAAAATTCTCTTTCTGGTGGATAGACAGCTTTTTTGTTATATTTAGGCCTTCAACTGAGTGGATAAATCCCATCCACATCATGAAGGATAGTCTGTTTTACTCAGTTTACCAATTTAAATGTTACTCTCATCCAAGAACACTTGATAAAAAAAAATGTTCATCTAAATACCTGGGCACCCTATGGCCCAAGCAAGTTGACATATAAAATTAACCATACTCATATTTGACACTGTCCGAGAGTTACCTACCATACAAGATGAACTGAGATAATTTTTTTTTTCTGGAAAAAGAAATCTCAGTTGTTGTTTGTCTTTGTAATTCTTACAAAAAGCTCAGAAAGGCTTTCATGAACTGGCATATTCTGAACAGTGTGACTTGCTGGTATGTATTCTAGGGTGATAAAATAAAGCCTTTCTTACAAATAAAGGAATGAATTAACATGCTGATTGGAATTATTCATAAATCAATTAAATTTTAGAGAATATTTTCCAATTAGAATGATTTTTTTTTAAACACTAGATAAGGGATCTGCAAGCTACATACAGCTCATGGGTCATATCTGGCATGCTACCTATTTTTGTAAATAATGTTTTATTGTAACACACCCACACTCATTCTGTTGGATACAGCTAATTTACCTTATTGTGGCAGAGTTGGGTATAGGTTGGGTATTGTGGTAGAGTTGAGTACAGAGTAGAGATAGATTCAAAGACCCGCAGAACTGATACTACTTACTGTCTTGCTCTTTACAGCAAATTTTGATGAGTCATTCTTCCTGACAATAGTTAATTATACAAGACTAATGATTGAAGATATTCCTAGCTTCTGATAAGATCACCAAAGTGTTAGTATATATAATTAGTATATACAATGTGTTTTCCCTCCATTTCTGGTTGTATGTGTGTATATGTGTGGGGCAGAGAGAGAGAGAAAGAGAGAGAGAAAGAAAGAAAGGGAAACAGAAAGGGAGGAGGAGAGAAAAAGAACAGAGAAAAAGATTGATTATGTCTTGTTAATCTGCAAATAGTTTCTTTCCTTGGCCAAGATTTGTCAATAGTAAAATGAGGGGGAGGACTCGGGTGTGCAACTCAAGTAAAGCACTTGCTTAGCAAGCCTGAGCCACTGACTTCAGTCTTCAGAAGCACCAATAAATAAGGTTGGGGATTTAGCTCAGTGCAAGAATGCTTGCCTAGCAAGTATAAGGCCCTGAGTTCAGTTCCCAGCATCTTTTTTTGGAAAAAAAATAAGGTGAGGTATGTTGTGGATTAAAATGTAGCATTACGTTTATCTTGTTCAAGGTAGTTACATTATCTAAAAATAAGAATTTTTACTTTGCTTTGGTGATTTTATGCATTTTCTGTAAAAATTGTTACTAGGAATCTGTTGATTAGCTGGTTGCTAATCTCAGAATCTACTATTGATTTTTGAAAAATCACTGTACATAATTTTCATCATTTCCCTTATAAGCTGATAGCATGAATAACAATAGTGATGATTATAATCAGTGATAGAGTAAATGTTCCTATGTATTGTAATTGGTCCTTTAGTAAAGCCTTGTAGTTAATATTAATGTTTAGGTGTAGAGTTTCCTGAAAATTTCTTTTTTCCATATGTGTACTCTGAATGGCATTGCAGTATACAATAAAAGAATGAAGTTAAAGTGGTGGGTAAAATAGAAAAGACAAATAAAAAACAAAAATGAAAATGAATATTGACAGAACATTGGGAAGACAATAATTAGCTAAAAAAACATTTAATTTAACTCAAAAGGACAAATTGAGCTAAAAGTAGGAAGATACTATTGTTAATCTTTTAGCAGAAGATAATTAAAGAAATAAACTAAAATGTAAAATTATTTTATATTTTAAGTGACTTGATTAGAAGTAGAAAAATTAATTTTTTATGGTGAGCACATTTTACTTTTATTGTCATGTTGTATGACTCAGTTGGACTTACCCTAAACTCCAGTTCACAGCCTGCATATGTAATCACAGATCCCTACCTCTCAAATAATTCAGAGATTACAGCTCACACATGAAGATAAATAGGTAGGTTTAACATTTTTTAAAAGATAGCAGTACATGTTTAAAACTTCAATGCCTGGAAGCAGGAAACAGAGTTCTTCAGTCAGAGGAAGCTGCAAAAGCATTGAATTAATATGTTTGTGATACATGAAGTTTATTTGGCAAATTTTAGATTTTACTGATTGTTCTTATTTTGGGTAGAAAACTCTTTTATATCTTACGTGTATTTTTTACAAGCTAAAAAACCCCGTTTTCTCATTATACTTCATACAACGAATCTGCCTCATTTGCAGATTACATGTGTTTTTGACCTAATGTAAAAAAAAAAAAGTTAAAGAATTTCAAAAACAAAAACCATAAATTCCTCTGGGCACATTGTGCAGCTCAGTTGATGTGGAGAAGCTCTCAGTCAGTTCTACATTGTCATCAATTGTGTTTAAATTGTTGCATGATCTGCTGAGTGTTTCCTTGCCTTTGGTTGTGTGAAAATGTCTCTCAAAAAGTAAATAGTGCTTGAAAAGCAAAGTAAAAGCTAATGAGCTTTTTCCTAAAGTTGAAACTTTAGGTTTGTTGAAAGGTGGCATAAGTGGGAACTTTAGGTTTGTTGAAAGGTCGCATATCTTTTGTGAAATGGGCATTATGGAAAAAAATGATTCAAGCATCTGCACTATTCAAGATGAAGAATATTACATAAGATCTAGTTTTGGTGAGCAGTATTAATGTGTACAATAGTAATTTCTGTGACAGTAATGTAGCCTTCTTGATGCAGCTTCAAGTTATGGATGTTCAGACCTACTGTTTGTATGGTATAGGTAAATTTGAGGAAGTTAGGGTACTGAATTCTGCATCCTGAGCATTCATTGTTTTTTCCTCAATGGCTGTTTCCTTGGATCCATAGATCCACTGATTGCAAGGGTTTACTGTATATCTTTTAAATGTGCATATTTTCCTTTATAGGCCCAGAATATTCATCAGCATGGTTACCTGGTAATGAATCATTGTGGCAGGCCACAACTGTTCCATCTAACCATCGAAATAACCATATCAGAAGACACAGTATAGCTTCTGACAGTGGAGACACTGGCATTGGCACTTCCTGCTCTGACAGTGTGGAAGGTAAGTTAAAATTCTTAGTATTTAGATATGAGCCTATGGAAAATGGTTGTGAAATGAGAATTTTCAAGAGATATGTTTAATTAACTAAAAATTACAGTGTTTGAGTATTTAATAATATTCATTGTTGCTACATATCAAAGTAATTTTCTCTCTGTTCATACTGCATTTTTCCTTCATTGTCTTAACTAAACATTTTATTCTGACACAACAGTAGATTCACATGCAGTTTTAAGGAAGAATACAGAGATTCCATGTTTTCCTTATCCATTTTCCCTCATAGAAATATCTTACAAAACTATGTTACAGTCACACAACTAGGGTAGTGACACTAATGGCAGTCAGGATGCAGAATAGGGCTGGTCATGGAGCTCTGTGGTAGAGTGCTCACCTAGCGTGCACAAGGCCCTAGGTTCAATCTCCACAACTTAAAAAAAAAAAAGATGTAGAACATTTCCATATACCTAATATTGCCTCCAACCACTTCTCTCTCTACTCTTTTTCACTCCCCTTTAACTCTTGGAAAGCATTAATCCGTTTTCCATTTCTGTAATTTTGTCGTTTCAAGAATGCCATATAAATGAAATCATACATATAAATGAAATCCTAAGTTCAAATCATGGGGTTTGAACTTAGGGCCTTGCACTTGCTAGGTATGCACTCTACCTGTTGAGCCATGTCTTCAGCCCTTTGTGCTTTAGATTTTTTTTTTTTTCAGATAGGGTCTTGTGCTTTTGCTCTGGTGGCCTTGGATTGCAGACCAATCCTTCTACCTAAGCTGGGATGACAGGTGCACACTACCATGCTTGGCCTGTTGGTTGAGATGGGGGCTTGCTAACTTTCTGCCCAGGATGATCTCCAGCTTTGATACTTCCCATCTCTGCCTCTTGAGTAACTAGGATTATAGGCGTGAGCCTCTGTGTCTGGCCAGTACATAACCTTTTGGAATGAGCTCTTTTCTCTGGAAAGCTGTCCCCTAACATCTTCCACTAGTATGGTGCATGTAATGCAGTCAGTGAAACTATACTGATACATCATCACCTAGGATCTATTGTTTAGATTAGGGTTTACCTTGGTGTCATATGTTCTCTCAGTTTGGATAAGTTTATCATGCAGAATATATCATACAGAATAGTTTCACTGCCATAAGAATCCTTTATGCTCTGCCTGTTCGCCCCCAGCAGTCACTGATCTTTTTACTGTTCATAGTTTTGCTTTTTCCAGAATATTATGAAGTTGCAATCACAGTGTATGTTTAGCCTTTTCACATTGGCTTCATTCATTTAGTAATGTTAAGCTTCCTCCATGTCTTTTCATAGCTTGGTGGCTCATTTGTTTTTAGTGCTGGGTAATTCCTGTTGTCTGTTCTTACCACAGTTTTTTTTTTTTATCCATTCGTGTTCTTGATGACATCTTGATTGCTTCCATGTTCTGGCAGTTATGAATAAATCTGCTATAGATGTCCATTTGCATGTTTTTGTATGGGCATCAGTTTTTACTTCCTTGGGTCAGTACCAAGGAGCTGATTACTAGATTGGTGTGATAAGACTGTTAGTTTTGTAAGAAATTGTCAAACTCTCTTTCAAAGTGTTCGTACTATTTTGTATTCCCACCAGCAATGAGAGTTCTTTTGTTCCACATCCTAACCAGATTTTGGCGTCGTCAGAGTTCTAGATGTCACATTCTAATAGTTGTGTAGTAGTATTTTGTTATTTTAATTTATATTTCCCTGATCACATGTAATATTCATCTTTCATATGCTCATTTGGCGTCTGTGTATTTTATTGTTGAGGTATTTATTTTAGAGTATTCTTTCCATTTTTAAACTGTGTTGTTTGCTTTCTTATTCTTAAGTTTAAGGGTTCTTTATACATTTTGAGTAAAAATCCTTTTTCAGATGTGTCTTTTGCAAACATTTTCTACTTGTCTGTGGCTTGTCTTCTCATACTTTGCTATTCTCTTTGGCAGAGCAGAACCTTTTAATTTTAATGAAGTCCAGCTTATCAGTCCTTTTCTTCATGATCATATCTATATATGCTGTAGTCAAGGTTATCTAGGTTTTGTACTATGAATTTTTTAGTTTAATGTTTTAAATTTATATTTGTAATCCATTTTTGTGAAAGGTGTAATGTGTACCTTTTGTAGTTCTATCATTTTTGGGTATTCTGTTACATTTTCACCAGTTTTTTTTCTTCTTTTTGTTTTTAAGAAATTTGTTTTTATATTCTCAAGCTCAGAGAGTCTTTTTTCAGTTGTTCCTAGTCTACTAATGAGCCTGTCAAAGATTATTTTCTATTAGAGTGTTTTTGAGCTCTAGGATTTATTTTTGATTCTTTCTTTAGAAGAATGCTTACGTTATTCATCTATTTTGCATGCTATTTATTTTTTTTCCATTGGAACACTTAGCACATTGATCATAGTTGTTTTAAATTCCTGGCCAGGTAGTTCCAGCATCCCTGCAATATCTGGGTTTTGGTATGTTTCTTCAAACTATATTTTTTGTTTTGTAGTATTTCTTCGAATTGTTTTTTGAAAGGTGATCATGACATGCTGGTAAAAGGAACTGTGGGGAACAGTTCTTTGATAATAAAGTGGTAAGGTGTGTAGAGAAGTCCTATGATTAAGTCTTGCTGTTTTTGTGAGTTGCATCCCTGGGCAGTGGACTTCACAAGTGATTTTCAGGTTGTATCTTTTTTATTTTTTTGTCTTTGCATTTCTGTTTGCTTGTTTATGAGACAGGGTTTTTCTTTCTATGTGGTTTAGGATGGCCTTGAACTCAGAATCTTTCTGCCTCAGCCTGCCCAGTGGTGGAATCACAGGTGTGCGCTGTTATACACGCACCTTTCTTTTTTATTTAAGTTTAAAAATTTTTTCACCATCTTCAGTGGGACAAGATGGCTAAAGGGGGCTGGAGTTGGGAATTTCTCTTCTACATGGAAGGCTGGAGGGAGATTTGGTTGAGTATTTTCCTTCCTACCTGTGGAAGGCGACAGTTGGCTGAAGCTGGTTATTTTTGTTCTAGGTTATGTTCTGATAAAATCTCAACAGGTTGGGTTGTGGTTAAATATTTTACCCTAAGGGTACATCTTGTGAAAAAGAATAGCACTCTGCTATTTTCTCCTTTCTACTGCTGAAAGCATGAGAGAATTTTCTTCTGATACTCAGCTCAAGATCCTGAATGTAAAATTCATAGAAGTATGGTGGCCCTCCTGTGCCTGTGTCTCCTTGGAATTTTTAACTCTTAGAATTGTCCACATTGAGTTTCAACAATTTGTCAATTATAATTCAGGTTTTCCTATCAGGCCCTGGTTCCTATGGAGGTTTCAGTTCCAATAAATTGTGATTCTTTGTATTTACCTTGTTTTTTCAATTTTGGGCATAGCAGCAGTTTGCCCTGGGACTGACCTTTTTGGGAACTAAGAAGAGTTTGTTTCCCATTATTTCAGATTAATTTTTAGGATGGAATGGTGACTTCCAAGCTTCTAGCCTCAAAACCTGACTCAAGTGACTAATAATGTTTGAATACTTTTTCATGTGCTTATTTCCTGTATATATTCTCTTCATTGGAATCTCTTCATGTCTTTTGCTTGTGTTCTAATTGTATTGTGTTCTTTTAATTGTGTAGTCTTGAGGTTATATATTTTAGATACTAATCTTGTTGGGTATGTTGTTTTCAGATATTTTCTCCTAATGGATTACCTGTATTTTTATGAACAGTATCTTTACTGAGCACAAGTTTTAAAATTTGAGGTCCAGACCACAATTTTTTTTTCTTTATGGACTGTGATTTCTTATGACAAATTTAAGAACCCTTTGCTTAGTCTTACTTAACTTACTTAGACTAAGCAAAGCAAATTATTTGCTCAGTTGCTCAATTTTTTCTAAAAGTTTTATCAATTTACATTTTAAGTTCATGATTCATTTTGAGTTACTTTTTTAACATGAGTGTGTTTATTTTATTATGCTGGGTGGGGTACATTGTGACATTTACAAAGTTCTTACAATATATCAAATATATCATACTTGAATTCACCCCTCCACCACTCTCCTTTATCTCCTTCTCCTCCCATTCCTGGAACAGTTTCATCAGGTATCATTTTTCCATTTACAATACATGTGTGTAAAGTGTTTGAACTGTATTTACCCTCCCACGCCTTTTCCCCACCTCCTCCCCACTCCCACTGGTACCACATCCCCAGGCAAGACCTGTCTGTCCTTCTGTTCTCTGATTTTGTAAAAGAAAAAAAAAAGACATTTTTGTTTAAGACAGCTACATAGGGAGTTTCCTTGTAACATTTCCATGTATATATGTATTATAACCTGAATTGGTTCATCTCCTGTTTTTCTTCTTTCTCTCTTAGTCTCTTTCTTATGGTGGTTTCAACAGGTTTAAAAATTCTGTATTTGTTTGTGCATAGAGAGTACATCAGCCCACCTTAACTTATTCTTTTACCCTCCCCCAATCAGATACAACCTCCCTGTAGCGTGACTTATTTTTCACAATACTGCTGTATTTGTGTTAGGTCTGTATTCCACGTATGAGAGAAAACATGTGGCTTTTGACCTTCTGAGCCTGACTAACTTCACTTAAGATGATGTTCTCCAGTTTTATCCGTTTACCTGCAAACGACAAAATTTCATTCTTCTTTGTGACTGAATAAAATTTCATTGTATATAAATACATTTCATGAGTGTGTTCAGAGGTTCCCAAGACTACCCTTACACTTAGTGATTTGCTAAAAGAAATCACAGAACAGGAAAGTTGTTATACTTAAGGTTATATGTATCTTCTCACTGTGGAATTGTGTGGGCGGTGTTTAATTTTCCCATTAGAGATATATGACAGTACACATGGAGTATTGCTGACCAGGCAGGCTCATTTGAGCCCTGCTGTCTAGGGTCTTTTTGTTTTTGTTTCTGTGTTTTTGTAGGTTGGTTTCTTAGGCATGGTTGACTGCCTGCAAAAATGACCTTATTCGCTAGCTCTCCAGAACTCAGGCTGATACCATTTGGTCCAGGACCCCGACTACAAATCACATTATTAGCATAGACTATATGGAGGGGTCTAAGTTCCCCAGGCAAATAAAGGCATCCTTACTAGAACATTCCAAGTGCTTAGCGATTACCTACTAAGAGCTTGGCAAGGGCCAAAACTGTTAGAATGTGTAGGTTGTGGAGAACTCAGGCTTGCTTAAATTGTGAGACATGACAGTGAAATTTTTTTATTTCTTAAACTTTGGAGTGATTACTCCACTTTATTCTTTTTCAAAATTGTTTTATCTCTTCTAGTTCTTTTGATTTGCTACATATGCTTTAGAATAATCTTATGCAAAATAGGACACAAAGAATCTTTCTGAGAATTTGAGAAGAATTTTGCCATAAGTTAATTTGAGTAGAATGATGTCTTCATTGAGTTTTCCAATATATGAACATGAGAATTTACAGGAATTTTTTCTGTAAATGAGTTTGAATAGAATTGACATCTTGAGTTTTTCAATGTATGGTGTTTTTATTTACTTAGATCTTTGATTTCATTTACTGATGTATAGTTTTCAAAAAACATATATTTTTTTTAAGATTTACACCTAAGTATGTAGTTTGTAAAGACTGACTGTAGATGATGTATTTCTAATTTGTTGTTGATATTATAGGACAAATAGAAATATCTTTAGAGTAGACAAATAACATTTGATAGTTTTAAAAAATGTGTATTATATATCTTGTTACCTTATTGAGCTCACTCATGAGTACTAGGAGTCTTTGGTAGATCCTTGGGGTCTTCTTTTTCTTTTTGTGGTACTGTCATTTGAACTCAGGTCTTGGGGCTTGCTGGGCAGGTGCTCTACCACTTGTGACCTCTAGTCTCTTCCCTTCCCCTTTCCCCCTTCCCCTGTTTTCTTTCTTTTTGACATGGTTGCTTACTGTGTTGCCCAGGCTGGCCATGACCTTCTGGGCTGAAGCAGTCTTCCTGCCTCAGCCTTCCAAGTAGCTGGAAAATACCCATTCTTGCCTGAGTATTTTCAGTGTAGATGAGCACGTTCACAAGGTTTTCCATTTCTGATTTACATGCCTTTTATTTCCTTTTTTGACTTACTGCAGTGGTTAGGCTATCCAACACAATTTTGAACATCAATAATAGGAGTGGGTATCCTTGCCTTGTCTTTGATTATATAGATATGTCAACTATAGGATTTTTTTTTTTAGATACTATTTATTAGTTTGCAGAATTTTCTCACTATTCTAGTTTGCTATCATGAACAGGTTTGGGGTTTCGTCAAATGCTCTTTTTGCATGAATTGATATATTATTTTTGTCTTTAGCTTGTTGAGATGGTGATGGATTTTATTGCTTGGTTTTTCAGATGTTACCAATTTTCCATCTCTGGAAAAAAGTCCCCTTGATCATCAAATTTTATACTGCTGAATTCTATTTCTTTATATTTTTTTAAGGACATGTGTGTGTGTGTGTGTGTGTGTGTGTGTGTGTGTGTGTATGTGTATGTGTGTATGTGTGTATCCGTAAGGAATACTGGCCTGTAGTTTTCTTTTTCTTTTGGTAATTTTATATCTTGTTTTAATATCAAGGTTAGTACTAGCTTTATGAAATGAATTGGTTAAATGGTCTTGTCTATTTTCTGGAAGAGACACTGTAAAAATTGTTGATTATTTTTAAACATTTACCATCAAGTGCCAAGTTATCATTACACATTCCAAATTAAAATCCAAGATTCTATTTTGTTATCGAAATATTTACAAAAGGTATAGCAATCTGAGTTGATGGGAAGTTGGAGCTAAGTGGTAAAAGACAACTTTCACCATTTTCTATATCTCTGACATGTAATTGAAAGAAAATTGGGGGTACTAGGTCTTGGATTTTGTCTCCATCTTCTCCCTCTCTCTTCTTAAAATGACTGAGTATGTGCCATATTGATACATGTATAGAAAATACATCAACTGTATTCATTTTTCTTTACCTTTTTCATTTACCTTCCCTCTCTCACTGGTACCCTCCTGTTAACGTGACCTATTCTGCATTTGTGTCATTTATTATTTCATTGTCTGTTCATTGTTCAATCTGGTTTTGCCTTAGTATTATACCTGTAAATATATTGGACTTTAATCAGTCTAACCCCCCCTTTGTTAGTCTTCCTTACTCTTTTCCCCTTCTACCATATTATTGTTCAGCAGTTTCATTGCATTTTGTTGTGTCTTGTTCCTACACAGAGGTGATGTATTTCAATATTATTATCATTCTCATTCTCTTCAGATTTCAATGTTGGATTTTAAGTGAGACTTCTCAGTAGGGAGACAGACTTTTTTCTTTAAAGACACATTTCTTGATTAAATAGGATAAACATAAACATGTCTTGCCAATCATTGTTCATTCTTACATATACTTAATTTTGTAAGCATATTTAGAAAAACATGTTTGAAAATAAGTTTGACTTGTTTTTTTATAAACCTAAAAGAATAATAATGATTTCCTCATTTTGAAGAAGTACCTCTGAGAAACGTGTGACACCATGTTCAAATTTCTGATTTGGCATTTCTCCTCACTTTCTTTTGTCTGTTAATTGTAACTTGGCAATCCTTTCTCTTTTCAGATCATTCAACTTCAAGTGGCACACTATCTTTTAAGCCTAGTCGATCATTGGTTACTCTTCCCACAGCCCATGTGATGCCGTCCAATTCAAGTGCTTCAGTTTCCAAACATAGGGAATCATTAGCATCAGATGCCTCAAAATGGAATACAAGCCTCTTACAAACATTGGGAGACCACAGTAGGGGAGAGCAGGACTCTTCACTAGACATGAAGGACTTCCGACCCCTTCGGAAATGGTCATCTTTATCTAAACTCACTATCCCGGACAACTGCAGCCAGAGTGGTGCTGTACACACAGAAGAGCTGAAGAATGGTTTGGAAAAGACAGGGAGGGGCAAGGCTTTAACATCACAGTTAATGACTATTGGGCCTAGTTGCTTACACGATAGTATGGAGATGCTTAAGCTAGAGGACAAGGAAATAAATAAAAAACGGTCATCAACTCTGGACTGCAAGTATAAATTTGAGAGCTGTAACAAAGAGGACTTTAGAGCCTCTTCTACTCTTAGGAGACAGACCTTAGACATGACATATAGTGCCTTACCTGAGAGCAAGCCCAGCATGACAATCTCAGAGGCTTTTGAATCTCCAAAATATTTAATGCTTGGGCAGCAGGCAGTAGGTGGAATTCCCATTCAGCCTTCTGTGAGGACTCAGATGTGGCTTACAGAGCAGTTACGGACAAACCCTTTGGAAGGTCGAACTACAGAGGATTCTTACAGTTTATCTCCTTGGCAACAACAGCAAATTGAAGAGTTTCCACAAGGAAGTGAAACACCAGTGCAGGTAAGGTCAAAACCTAGTATTTGCTTCCCTCCAGTGGATGTTAGGAGTACAGCAGCACATTTGTATGCAGAAGACAGTATCCCGCAATCACAGGTTGTTTTGCTTTTTCTTTCTCCCACAAGTTAATAAGCATGCATATTATAAACTTGGCAAATACTGTGTTGATGAAAAAACTTACAAAGCATTTGAGACTAATTAACATGAAAACCTTATAATTTGTGCCTAACTTGATCGTTACTTTCTTTCTCATTTGTTAAATGGGCAAAAAAATAAAACGTTCAATTTGAAGAAATGTGAAACAGAAAGAAGCTGACATGTAATTGAAAGAAAATTGACTTGGGAATGCTAGGTTTTGGGTTTTATTTCTGGTTCTACTATGTTTAGAATCTGGGTGATTCTTATTTCTTCATTTCTTCATTTCTTCAGCTTTTGTTTATCTATGAAATGAGAAGGTGAAGCTAAAGTCATTTATAACACTTTGGTAATGATTGCTATGTATTTAAGATTTATAAATCATGTGCTTATTGAAAAATACATTGAGCATCAAAATTTGGTAATTTTGAGAACACATGATGGTACCATATATGACAGAACCCCTAATTGTTCCAGGGAATAACATGTAAATTTGTAAGTTTCTTGATCTGGAAATGTGTCTATTTCAGAATAATTTTTTATTGATTATTTTCATTGGGAGTCCTATTTTCTGACCTGAACCCTGTCATTTTGTATCAGGATTTTCTGAAACAATTTTATCAAAAATTACAAATTTACCTAGAGAAAAAATTTTAGATTACTATTCATTGTTATTACTAATAAAAATATATGCGTGTACTTTTTGGCAGTACTGGGGTTTGAACTCAAGGCTTCATACTTGCTAGGTAGGTGTTCTACTATTTGAGCCATACTTCCAGCATGAATAATAAAATATAAAAAATAAAGAATAGAGGATTATGGTCTATGAAAGAATAAAAGAGATCACTTATCTAGGAACCTCATAAATCTGAGCTTAGCTCCAAACATACATATAACCTTTATTCGTAGGAGAATCTTTAATCTATGTGCCATCTTTGCTCTTACTATGGACATAGTTCTTACAATTTTGACTGTCTGTATTTAAACCTATGTGTATTTAAACTACATATATTTAGGCTATGTTTAACCTGCATTTAACTAAAAGAAGCATCATTATGTTTGAATTACATGTCCAAAAAGTAGTGATCTAACCAGATTTGCTTGTGATTTATCAAGTCAAGTGATTGAAAGGTAGGAAACCTAGGTTTTAAAAAACTATTTATATTTTAGTTTTCAGATGCTTGGGATAGTAGAAAAGCAGGGATCCAGACAGCTGTTTCTTCAGCTGGTGGTACCTTTATACAGAATTGTAGCTGTTAAAGCATTGCTGAGTATACTGTTCCAAATTAAGGTAGATATGATAGTGAAAGGTAACTGAGATAATTAGGCTAATTTAGGAAGTGATTTCTAATTTACCTATCTGTTCATTCCCTTGGACAAACTTCTGTTTTAAATAAGGTTTTCCCAAACCTTGAAGCAATCCATAGACGATAGAGTTATTGTCTAGAGTTATTGGAAGTTCCTTGTGGAGAAAAACTTTCTGTTTAAATGTTATTCCTAGTGTGTTACTAGAGTGAGAAAGTCACTTGTGGAAAACGTTTTTGTATGCCTTAAAAGTGGTATTTCTTTTTTAAAGGCACTACTTCTGGATTAACCTTATTTGAAATGGTCTCTGAATATAGGGCTTTTACATTTGAGAGTAGAAAGATAAAGGCAGGTAAAGAAAAATAGATACTTCATCTGCAGTCCCTTTTTGTTTTTTGAGGGTGCTGCTGGAGATCGAACCCAGACCCTTGGCTATACTAGCCAGGTGCTCTGCCAGGGAGCTGCACCACCCCCCCACCCCCACTCCGTGCCTCAGTCCTGAGCCATTTTTAAACAACTGCTTCTCTTCTCATTTCCTTTGTGAAGTTTTATAAAAGAAAATTCTTAATTATCTTGTCCTTGGAGCCTCTTGGGATTCTCTTTATTTTAAAAGGTTTCCTTGTGATTTTTTTCTTAAAAGTTTCTTTGAAATAGTAATGTCCTTTTAGTTCAATCTTTTCTTGAAGTGAAGAACTTTAATAAGGATTTGCCCCATTTGATTGTGATAATCAAGCACAACTGCTAAATTCTTACTAAGGGGAGAAATTCTTTTATATCTGAGAAAAGGAATTTGGCTGGAAATTGTGATCTAATAGCACCATAGATTTATAGAGCTTTATAGCTCAGTGTTTTACCTCATTTGATTCTCATAGTCCCCCTCTCTCTCCCTCCAAGGTTAATTTATAACAAGGAAGTTTTGCTCTTCCTAGGACTTTATCTAGAAGAGTTATTGAGCCAGCCACACAGTTTAATGTGCGTGGTGTTCCTTGATTTCTTTGATTTCTCCTAAATCACCTAGAGTGTATGTAGTGTAACACTCCGAAGCATTTTCCTTTGTGAGTGAAGAGAATCCTCTTTTGGTTTAGGATTTAGGGTTCCATGTGCACCATCCGCTACTAGTCCTTGGTTCTTCCCTCTGTACTCCATCACCCCCACACCTGTGGTCCCAAACTGTCTCACTCTGTAAGGTTATGACAAGAAAAACAACATCTTGATCTCTTTTTGGGGAGAATGCATATCTTTCCATGTTTTTCATGTGCACCTCTACATATAGCCTACCATGGATCTCTTCAACAGTAATGATGTGTAGTGACAAAGTTGTAAGAATATTTGCTGTGATGTTTTAAACTCTGAGTTGCAATCATTCAAAAGAGGAAAGATGAAACTTTGTGTCTATATAAATCATGAAGGGGCTGATGTTATTGGTGCCTAATTTTAACATATATAATGGAGATTTATTTTTTCTTATATAAATAAATATTTAAGCCCTAAAGTACTCTGTTTTTGTCTAACTTGAAGTAAGATGAAAAAATTTGACTTCTGACTTGTTAATGCTTTATGTATTTTTAATGTTCTTTGAAAAGAAGCAGTTTTCTTATTTTTATTCTTTATTTTTGCATTCTATTTTGTCTTTAATTTTTTTAACTGAGATAAATTATGCACTGATATGGACATGACACTGTAGAGGATAGGATATTATGGTACATTCATTACGTAGCTGAGAAACATAACTGATTTTCTATACATGTTTTAAAAGTTACTAATAATTATTGTGTTTGATTTTCTGCTAACTTTTCTGTATAGTTTAGATATTTTGAAGTATACTGTAACTTATAATGCATACAGATTTTTCTTTGAGATTTATTGTATTCTCATTTTGCCAGGACACTCTAGAATAACCAAAGGATAAGTAATCTCTAGGTAGTAGCAAATTTATTATTCTGTGTAGGTCTGCCCTCTTGTGTTTGTACTAGGAACACAAGATGGTTTTATTTTATTTGGGGAAATACCCCCATCCCCTACAGTATCAACACTATTTATAGTTAGAACCTATTATAGTCAATATCAATCTAGCATTCATTGTAGAGCAGTTTCAGTAAATTCATTTTAAGATAGGTGATTCTGATTATTTTCATTAAACATTTTTTGCCAATTAAAAAATAAAAGACAACATTAAACATTTAAAAATTAGTTCGCTTTCAGTATCCTGTAAGTTAAGATTAGAATTTACTCCATGATAGAAGGTAATTAAATATTTAATACTTAAAAATTAAAATACAAATATATTATTTTCTTAAAGCTTATAGCAAACAGATTAAGTTCCATTTAAAGAATGTGTTTTTGTTCCCCCATTTTAATGAGTTATAATATTCTGAAATCGTCATCTTGTTAAGGGTTTAATTTTATTAAAGACAGAATGAAGGATAACAAAAAAATTTTTTAAAATCTTGTGTTTTACCAAGGAAAATTCCTGTAGCTTCATAGTAAATAGTTTGAAGTTGATGTTGTAATTAACAATGTAATGAAAGTCATAGGACTTATCAGTTCAAGTTTTCCACTTGCTTATAATGTCAGTACAACTAATCATAGGACTTGGATATTTTTGATAGATAATAACTGAGACCAGTGAGGTGATGTATCACTCGTGGTTTATAAGCTTTCTGGTTGTGACAGGAATATCCAGCCTGTAGGTGAACTGTCACTGAGGAAATCCCTTTAGTATGAGACCCCTTTACTTGCTGTATCTCAGATATCTGTGAATCAAAACTGTTTCCCTTCCATCTCCAATACATCTCAGGGATTCAGAGAATTAAAAAGCAATGTCAGAAAACTTTGTTAGAAATGAAGATCAATACTGATGTTTCACATTTTTTTATAATCATATTTTAGAAAATATGGGTAAAATTACACACTATTTACTGTTTAATAATTGCTGTATAGTCACATGTCTGGAACTGAACTTTAAATTATTGGATTATGCAGTGTAGATGTAACCCATTATAGACTTGAGTCAATTTAAATTACTACATTTTGGTGAACATATTTTCCAATACTTAATTTTTACTCTTATTATTGTTTAAGTTGTTGGAAAATGTTTAAAAATTATCAGAGGGAGATTGAAAATTTATTCAGCAAGAAAGTAATTATAAATTAACATTGCTGGATTTATTATTCAGCTCAGTAGATTCGATAGATTAAGGAAAATAACTATCCTATTACAAATGATACATAGGACAAAAAGTTCATTTCAAAATGTAATATAAGAATTACATATTCTTATATTCAATTCAATTCAATTATTTTAATACTTCAAATAATATATTTTTCTGTCATTGGCAGTCTTTTAAATTCTTTTCCTTGCCTACATTGATTAGAAGTTTGGAATAGAAGACAGTCTATAAATCCAAGGATATAGTATGACAGGTTAGGTATTATAACTCAGAAATCTGCTATAATTAGACTTGAGGTAGAGTATATTTTACTAGTATTAGTAACTATGGCAATCACGCCGTCAAATATTAAGTTGACCACCAGTTTTATCAGTTCTTAAAGTTCTAGAATGAACAGATTTATGGCTAACTTACATGTACTAGATTTCCACAAGTTTTTGAAAAAATTAGCTAAGAGGAATTTGGTTTATCTAAGAATATGCTCTTTTCACTGTTTTCATAAACTTAAAAATGTTAATGTGGTATTAACACAATTTGTTTTAAAATGTAGGTTCTGACTGCTAAAGAGTAGCTACCAAGACCTCTGTGTATTAATAATAAAAAATAACAGATGTGAGGAGTCAGTCAGCTATTTTAAATAAGGACACCTCATTTAAATTATTTTGTCACTTGGTGAAGACCTGAAAAATATTTAGAAACTACCAAAGAAGCTCTTACAGTGCAATACAAATTATATTTACCCCAAAGAGTAAAGATAATGCTGTACATATATAAAGCAAATTTGTTAGCAGTGCTTTTTCAAAATTAAAACTCCTACTTCATCCTCAGACATGATTTAGGAAAGAAATTTATAAGCCATTTTGAGGAAATCAGCAGTTACATTATGCACACTTACAGTCATTGCAAGGTTTGAAAATAAAGCCCTTTTCATGTTTACAAGATCCAGCAGATGAATACATTTGCTAACAATTTGTTTTGCTCTTAATCTTGACCTTTTCACCAAGAAACTTCTACTCAGGAAGCAGGGTGTGTTGTTTTCCCCTCTTTATGGGATGGCAGATTTTAAGCTGATGTGACAAGTTGCAGATCTGGATACTGCAGCAGAACTTCAGAGAAGCATCACGATGATGCATATTAGCAAGAGACATATTAAGATGAGACAGAAGTTGATAAATAGGTTCTGGAGATTTTGGCGTGCTTGTTGAGGCATTTCAATAGTTGAGGCTCTTCTTATTGCTGAGCGAGTGAGGTATTGGACTTTCTCCATGATGCCAGAAAGGCCAGGAAATCTGAAGTTTTAAGTGGTCAAGAGAAAGATAAAAAGGTGGCAGCCAAATGTGAGATAACTGTCTTCTTTTAGTTAGCCTGTAATATAAAAATAGTACATGGATTAGGGTCATATAACCTACTCTGAATAGTTATTACCAAATTTTGCATTAATTTATCTTCCTCAACACTTTGTGTTTTTTATTCATAACATTAAATATCTGTAGTGTGTGTGTGTAAATCTATTCATTTCTTTTTTGTTAGATATATTGTTACAGTCTCCTTTGTCTTGTGTTTGGGTTATAGTAGCTTCAGTTTTTGCCTTCTTTCAAAATGACTACAAGTATTATTTGGTTTATGGTACAGCTTGTTGCAGGTTATTCCTTTGGGTCAAAGTTCTTACATATGATTTAATTCTGTTTCTCCATAAACGTAATTGATATGAACATTTACTATATTCATTACTCTGGAGCTAATCTCATAAAAACAGAAATGCATATAGCAAGTTATTCCTTGGAGTTTAATTTTAGTTCGAAAACAAGTAGGTAAATGAGAAGTTAAAATAATTAAATGAGCGATTCCAACTGTTTTGTCATCCCTTTTATGATTCTTTACCTTTGTAGAATGTTATACAACATTTTAACACGAATTGATACTAAGTTCTGAGAACTGTCAAGCTTGGAAGGCAAAGTAAGTTGTCATTATTGCTATGGATAGTTCCAGTTTAGTGGTTTGTCATGCCTTCTTTCAGAGCTCCTACAACCTATTAATGCTTGTGGGACCTAAAACTTTGATAATTAATAAAATAAAAACTTGCCATAGAAAAATTAGGTATATATTAAAAATTAACTATAAATAAACTACCCAGAGATAATGGCTGTTAACACTTGGGGATATTTTGGTTTTTATCAGAGTATTTCTGTATTAAAATAAAAATAGAACAAAAAAATAATTAACTGCCCAGAGATAATAATGGTTAACATTTATTGATATATCATTAATAAGATGTTACCTATATTATTCTAGTTGCCAGGTTTCATTTTCTCTCTAGCCTCTACATCCCAAGAAAACCTACCTCTGCCTGTCAGCCCCATACCTGAGAGAGGCAAGTGCTGAAGAGAGCAGAGAAGAGTAAAAAGAATGGGAAAGAGAGGATATGTATCAGGAATAACCAATTTGAACTTGGCATTTATTTTCTAAACAAGATATGTGGTGATTGTTGGTAGCAACTTATATTTGTCTAGTATATATTCTTCATTGTTCAATGCAAGTGGCTGAACTTACCTATTGCATTCCCTACTCAGAAAATGGCAACTTAAACTTGGTACGTTAATTAAACTTGTTTACTTTTGTTTTAATTCTTTAGGTAGAATACTGTAGGAACAAAAGTTGTTTTTTTTTAAAGAAAATATGCTTTTTAGGTTGCTTATGCTTATTAGCTTATTTTTGATCTAGTGAATTCAAGCCATTGGAGAATTGTGGGAAGATTTTCTTTAATTCCTTTACAAATTTGACTAGTCCCTTCATATGAGGATATATAACACTATAACTAAGGAAGAAATAAGAATTAGCATTAATAATCATATTAGAATTTAACAATTTTGTGACGCTTCAGGACTTAGTATAAGGTCTGAATTTTACAAATTACTTGAGATAAATAAAACATGGAAAAGAAGGGAGCTGACCAGCAGTTCATCAAGAAGCTTATATAGAACTCATCCCCTACTCAGGCAGTGATGAGTGGTGCTTCAGGCACATGAAACACATCATCTTTCTATAAATACCCCATTCCCTTTTATAATTTGCCCTTTGTACATGTTGTTCTGCCTCTGCCTGGAATGCCCCCCTCCACCCTCTTCTGCCTTTTGATTCCCTGCCAGGCAAAATTCAGTTGAATCCTTAAGGCTCAGTTTAAATATCACTGTCTAATAAAATCTTTCATTGATCATTAAAGGTAGAATTGGTTATCACCTCTGCTGGGTTTTAGTAAGACTTTAGTGTTACTGCATCAGGGTATCTGTCAGATTGTGGTATAATTTCAGTTTGCATGTCACTATCTCCAATTATACTCCTGTTTTTAAGTGAAGGAACCATGTGTTCATTTTGCATCTTAGTATTCAGCACCATTTGATTAAATAAAGTTGAATAAGAATTTTATGATTAAAAATTTTAGAAAATTGTTAATGACTAAAGATAATGCTGTAGTTATCAGATTAACCAGTTTGAATAACAGAATGTTGAACACATAAGCTCTCAAGTCTCTTACTATCACAGATGAGGAAAATGACTCTTAAAGGATTTACCTAAGTTTATTCATTAGAAATAAACTTGAAGTAGACATGTAGACATTGTACAAATGGGTATTAGGTATCTGTGAAATAGAAAGAGGTATCCCCTTAAAGAGATTAGTTATATCATTAGTTATATATATAGTATATATATTTAGTATACTTTAAAGATGATCTCATAATACTACAATAGCCTACTGAAATTAAAAAAGAAGAGTTTGTTCCTGTAAACAAATTAAGTGTAAAGGAAAGGACCAGATCAAATATAGCAACCTGTTTCTTGTCAAACTTAGAAATATGTTATCATTCTGAAGTGATTTGTAGTAACTTTATAATCCTATTGTAAAACTGAAAGCAAATCTGCTTTACATGCTGAAGTGTTAGTGATATACATTTAGTTTTTTGACTCAATTTATAGTGTTATAGTCTGAACGGTGTTGAGTCCTAATTCTTTAAAATGTGTATGGTAATAGTTAAGCCACATTTCATCTATAAAAGGTGGAGCTTCCTGTCACTGAGAATTGAAAAGCTATACAATTCTATTTTTGAAGTTGTGTTTTACCTTTACTACATCATAATTTATGACATGGTTGTCAGGTGTTTATTACTCTTTTTTTCTGCACTGACAGCCACCCTCTAAGTTTAGAAATTCTGCAGTCTTTTCTTATAGCCAGCCTTTTAATAGAGTAACTCTTAATGGAAAGTGAAAAAAATAGTTTAATTTTATTTTTATGTTACCTGATCTTTTTAGAACATTCTTTCAGGATAATCAGAAATATTATCCTAATATTTGTTGTTTTGAACTTATATATGACTTAAAAAGCCATAAAGAGTGAAGTTAGTCTATTTCCCTAATTAAAAGGATGGTAATATATGTATATTGGGTGTTTTGGAGTAGGAAGAATACTCACTTTTAGGCAAGTTTAAAAATTCATCATCTAGGCTCTAGCATCAGATTATTTAAAAATTGAAGGATGCTTGATGGAAGTTTGGTTATAGAAATGCCAGATTCTTGTTTTGAGTTGCATGTAAGAAACAGAAAAGTATTCACAGAGTTATGTTGAATATGTATGGAACCCATTATTCTGATATTTGGAAGGATAGGAAGAATATAAGTCCTTTCCTTTTTTTTTCCTGGGATTTATAAAGATTTTTGTTCTCTTTTTGTCTTTTGGTCAAAGAAGTTAAAATTAGAAATTAAAAAAAACAAAGTTCAAAACAGTATACTTTATTCTTTTTTTTTTTTTTTTTTTTGGTGGTACTGGGGTTTAAACTCAGGGCCTCACTTGCTAGGCAGGCGCTTTTACCACTTGAGCCACTTCGCCAGCCCGGTACTCTTTTTTTTAAAGTGGAAGAAGGAAAGAGAAATACCATAGGCAACCATAATCCTTCAACAAAAATCATGCAATTTGCTTGGTGGAAGATACATACCAACTCCTGCAGGAATTCGTACTTTGTCTGGAATGAGTTCTCTTTTAACATCATCAAATGCACGCTTTGTCTTTCTTATTATTGCTTATGTTTTCTCTTCAACAAAATTAGGGATAAGGGCAGAACAGGTTCTGCCTGGAAGTGAGGGGGTTGGGGGGAGAGGGAGAGGACGAGGAAGGTGGTGGGGGAGAAATGGCCCAAACAATGTATGCACATGTGAATAAATGAATAATAAAAAAAGAAAAAATGATTGATACTTAAAAAAAAAGGAACATCAATAGACTTGAAAACATTTGGTGGCCTGCCTGGTGACTTGCTAGGTAGTTGGTATGTTAAAACGATGTTGCATATGCATAGCAGTAATCACCACCTCTAAAATAAAACTCTCAGTGTTTTGTAGAACTTGCTGAACTTCAATTTTGGAGATATTGTTTCAATTGAAGTCATAAGTTTCTGAAAATCTTTAGATTTTTTTCTGTCCTCTTATTTTTGTCTGTTTTTTATTTTAGTAAACATGGTATAATTTGCTAGTAAATCCAAAATAATAAACATCTAAAACTGTAGTCTAATAGACAGTTTTAGTATTTTTGTCCTTTTAATTTGTGTAGAAGATTAGAATTCTCTACAGATTGAGGTTGAATAAGCAAGACTTGTCAATATTAGAATTATTTGGACTTGATTTTTTCATACTACTCATTACTATTTCTACAGATAAACCTGAAATGATTTTGTATTCATCTTCGACTTACTGAAATAAATTAAGACAGTTTATTACTAGATTTATAATTGGTCTGTTAGCTTACAAAATTCACTCTGCTAGAATCACTTTCCTTTTAAGATTGCCTAATTCTAAACTTGGAAGTTCTTGGAAATTGCTTTGTGGCAGCAATGTTCCAGGACTTTGCTGGTGCAGATTGGATGTGTGAAACAATCTTTTAAGTTGCTTTTACCTGATTACAGTAAGAATTCTGTAAACATAAAAATGAGTTTATTCTTGATTCCTAAATTGACCACATAGTTAAATGTCCTTCCTAGCTTTAAATTCTGCCTTGAGGAGAATTCATTAAAACAACAGCATAAAGACATTTTTTTCACTCCAAAATTGGTATGACTTTTGCTTTTTTGTTTGTATGTTTGTCTTCATCATGGTTGACTAGTTTACATATTGAAATTATGATTTAAAAATTAATTCCTTTGTTCTTTTTATATCTTGTAGGCATTGGGGCTTCAGATTCTGGTTTTCTTGATGGGGGGAGGGTAGAAGGAGGATGTGGGGAGGGAGTTTGGGGAGAATCTTAAGGAAAAATGAGTGGCACTTTTTTTTTTTCCTTGTAAGTCCTGAAGATGGAGTACATTTTACAAAGCACTAGAGGTCCTCAGTTGACTGTAACTATACCAGGCATACACCGTGACTTCATGTTCATGTGTTTAATTGGAAATGCATACTACAGAATTGTGTAGGATAATGCACTATTTCTGGAAACGTCCAAAGAGACACCATCTTATCTAATACATGCCGTTGTAATTTAGAAGGATTATGTTTTTTTTTAAAAAAGTGTTACACATTTATCAAAATCAAAACAACACAAGCAAGCACATCTAGACAAATAGTGAATTTGTGTGAAAAGGCAAAATCTAGACTTCAGTAATGTTTCTTTTCTGAGGATGTATTTCCTGTGTCCTGGACAGAATACTGTGGGTAAAATTTCAACATTTCCTGTCCTTTCGGGGCATGCTCCTGGAGAAGCCTGCTTTTCCATTGTCAGCTCTGAGTACTGAACCATGCAGTTAAACCTCCGCAATTCAATGCTAGGCCAGCTCCCTCACAAAATGGCTTGTTTTTTGTAGTACTGAGGTTTGAATGCAGAACATTCCTAGGCAGATACTCTACCATGTGAACTATGCCCCCAAGCCTAGAAGTCTTATGTTCTTAATTCTCAATATTCAGTTCATTCCTTTGCCTCTATGATAAGCAGGTGTGAATTCACACTTCAGATGAAAGTTGATGATTTTCATAGCATAAATAACAAAGCAATAACAAAAATTTGAGATTTAAATGGTAGAATGAGTAAGGTCAAAAGTGAAACTGATCAAAGGAAAGAATTCAGTATGGGAGCTGAATAAAATACTAAAGTGAGGTTTTTATGGAAAGTTAGGAGAAATTGGATTTTAGGTAACAAGCCTAAATGAGTTGAAGGTGTGATTTTAAAACAAGCAAAATAATAGGGAACTTTAATTAGATCAAATGTGGAATGTTTGGTTTTTTTAAAATCTGTGTGATTATTTTGAATTTTTCCTACTTGAGTTTATTGCTTAATAACTAAAGATGTCTTAGTTATTTTCATATGTTCCTGGCTTTGCAAATGATCTGAAGAATATAATTTAGGTTATTAAACATATAATGCTTGATGTATAAATTTAAATGAAATAGAATGGTTTAAAATTAATAGAAATTTGCATTCTTTAAATTTACCTTATTAAATGCAATTTATGAGGTTTAGTTCTTTCAGTTTACTTTGTCAGTATCATGGTTTATTTTTAAGCCATGTTAATCAGTGTATAGGATGTACATGTGACAGCCATAAAATCTAGGTTCCTTTTGAGGTTCTATTTGTATTTGGTGTGACCTTGAGCATTTCACCTTTTTTGCGTTTCCTAAATTGTGCAGCAGCAATGCAGTACCAAATGCATAGAGAATTAAGAGAATCAAAGGTAATGTTTGTGTATACAGCTGCATTTAGAAAATTGTTCTTCAAGAATAGGACATTTTAACTGACTCCTCAATTCTAGGATTGGTAATAAATATACCACTTAATTTATAGAGATAATCTACACTTTCATTATATTCAATTAAAGGTTTAATACACTATATAATTTAATTGCATAGTTAACACATTATATAATATACAGATATGTTTTATATATAATTTTATTTCTTAAACTGCTTTATTTATGCAAAAATCTTCTATCGCTAGTGAATTTGAATAAGAAACAATATGTTAGTATATAACCCAAATGTAATTGTTTTCCTTTATGTTTACTAAAACACTATTAAATTGATTTTGATAACATGAGTTTTAGAAAATGGCAGCAGTCTCATCTTAGTAAAGCAAACGTTTTGTCTTAAAAACTTAATGTTTCATAATTTATACCTCTTTCACATTTTTCCATTTAATGTCATTTAACTTTTTCTTTTTTAGCACTTGGTTTAAAACAGCATGTCCTTACAGATCAAGACAGTAGTTAAATGTCACCTTAAGAAAGATGAATTCCTGGCCGGCATCCACCACTGTTTTCTCTGTGGTACCTTCCCCTCACTTTCGATAAACTTTACTACATTTTCCAAAAAAAAAAGAAAAAAAAAGAATTAGTTCAGGCATAGTTTCTGGCATTGTGTTTAAAGTTTTTAACAACAGTCATGTAGCTATATTATCCAAGGATAACTTTAAGAGCAGAATTTCTGCTCTTTCTAGAAGTTGTCTACTTTCTGGAGCATTCTTTGATGTGGTGAAAAAGAAACTCATGTACCTCTCCCACTGAAATTTGAGAACTCTTGAGCACTCCATTTAAGTTTTGATGTAGTTTGATAGGCATCTGAATAAAAATGCAGAAATATGCACAAAACACCTGCACTGGGTGACCATTGGATATCAAAGAAAAAATATTTTAGGACTACAAATATAGAGGCAGCTAAAGTGCCTCAGTGACAGACCAAAATGAGAAGTGTTTTTGCATGCCTAAGGAAAGCAGTTAACATTTGTTGCAGGAATTGAGAATTCCTGAGGTAAATTTTATTTTAGGATATGTATAATATGAAAATAAAAACAATGAAATAAAATCTATGTAATTTCTCTATGCCCTGACAGAGATTTAAGAAGGAGGAAACATTTTCTTTATTAAATCGAGGATTGTAACATAAAGGAAAGCAGTGTAATTCAAACAGAAGTTCTAAAGTTTATTGTTTGATAAAGCTTTTTTTTTTCCTTTCTTTTTTCTTCTAAATTTATGAGAGGAAATAGCATCGGAGGATAATAACTTGATATCAGTATGTTCATTGGTTGGCAGATTAAACATTTTTATCAAATTTGCTCAAATGAGATATTTAGGAATTTTTGTGAGCCAACAAAACCCCTTTAAAGAATTAAGTTGTTATTATGTAACTTTAGACTTTTATGTGTTGTGACAAGTATTCACACTTGTTCTTTATAATATTGAACTTAAGCAATTCAGTTTATTAAAGGCATGGAGTTTCAGAAGTTTTTAAACATTGCCTAGACTCTATGTAGGTTATGCACTTTATTATTGTCTCTTAAGGAGTCATAATGACACTACTGGATAAGTATGCTGTTGTGCGTGTTGTCACACAGTTTTCCATCTTGTTCCAGATGTGAGTAAACAGCCCAGTCCTGTCATATATCTCAGCAGAGTTACATATAACAAATGAAGCCATTATTTTTGCCTAGAAAAATTAATTTTCCACCACCACCAAATATGGTAACACAACTGGAAGAGTTTTAAGTTGGTAGAAAATTGCATTTGAAAAGCAAAATAAACGTGAAAGTAAAATTAAAATAACAAACCAATAACCAGAATCAAAGAATATGACCCTTTCCAAAGTTAAGTCTAATTTTACTGTCACGAAATGGGTAAGCATTTATTTAGGTATTAATCATTTTGTCATAGCAGACATTTTGTTGTCTAACTTTGAACAAAATATGATTAACTCTTTTTAAAAAAAGTTCAGTAAGTTTGAGTTACAGAAAATGAGTATTTTCCAGAATCAGTGGAATCTGTTTCTTACCTTGGCTTCTGTGATCATCACAATACAGAGTATCAAGTTGTATGAAGTCCTGTGGGCCTTTAGCTGGGAAGTTTTCTGACAGTTACTGGGTGTATGGAAACAGTTGCAGTAGGTGGAGGAGAAAAAGTATTCTAGGGAGGTCTTATGATGTCACACAGAAATTCTGAAGTTGTGATTGGCTAGCCATAGTCTTACCACAACCAAACATTTGAACTTTACAACCAAACTTTAGAACTTCATTTATCCTACTTTAGATATGGAGACTTTTTAAACACTTCATTTTTTTTTGTTTTTAATTTTAAAATGTAAATGAAAAATAGAAAAGAAAAGTTTGGATAGTAGAAAGCTTCCTTTAAAGATTTATACATCTTCAGGCTTAGAGGCAATTGAATACTGAGGTGATGATGTTGAGAGCTAAATTAGTAGTTGTCATAGGGATTTTAATAGAGCGAGAATAATAATACAGACTTAAGTGAAACAACTCTCATTGAGTTGTTGCTTTAATACTGCAGTTTCTAGCAAGACAACAATTAAGCATTTTAACTGAATCTGTGGGTATGGGGAAGGAACACATGTGAGAAAACCAGGCTAATAACTGCTTTGGGATTTAGAAAAAAAAAATCATTATTGTTAAGATAAGAGCAAGTAAATGTGTATAATTGATTTGTGTTTTCGTGAGTTAGAAGTTTAGCAATATATTTATGAATAATCACATATGTAAATGGATATGTATTGCCTTAAGAAAAATTGCAGTTTGTAAATTTAAGTATTTAAGACTTTTTAATAGCTGCATAAATTACCATAAAATCCCACTAACTTTTATTAAGCTGACACAGTGTCAAGGGTAACCGTCTAGCAAAATAATAAAAAGCTGTAGATTCCTAACCAGTTGCACCATGAGTCTTTTATTGACACAGGTCTGTATTTGTTAAAATTCTAGAAGTATGTGCTTCTTTTAATCCAGCCTTTGCTTTTCTGAAAATTACTATATAAGTGAAATTTTAGGAAGTGGGATGATACGTTGATCTTCCCAGTACAGGTTATAATAGAACCGAGGAAGGAATGCTTTTGAGAAGCCAGGCATCATTCTCTTGTTTTCTGTTAATGTAATATTTTGCTTTTATATTAGATTTACTTAAATTATCACACTTGGCAAATGCTAATTTTTAAATTTTTTTTTAATTTTGTAAGAGCTGTTTGTAATTTATTTTTTTAAAAAATGCTTGTAAGAGAGTGAACTCAGCCTGCTTTACTTTCCTGTGCGTAAAATGTCAGCAGCAGCTGCTGTGTATCCTTAAATGGAGATGATCTTGGCTTCTTCCAAAGAAAGATAAAAATGCTTCTCTTGAGCAAATCTCTTGTTATTTAAAGAATCAGCTAAAATGAAATGAAAAATAGTGCTTCAGCAAAGATTCTTTGCAAACATTGCTAAGGAAAATTTACAACTGAAAAGTAAGCCCCAAATTAAGGTAATTGCATGAACAATGTTGCCACTTTGCTCAGTGACCTACAACCATCTTCTTTCAATCTACATAGTAAGGATTTCTTACCAATTGCCAATGATGACTAATATGAAATCGTAGAAGCCTAAATTAGCTTATAGTAATTCTTCAGAAATAACACAACCAGTAAAGGACAGATAAAGAATTTAGATGTAGATGTTTCATTATAACTCCTGATAAAATGGCATACTGTAGGGAAAATCATAATTCAGATATAGCTTTCATAGAATAGCACATATGAACAAAGAAGTTCTTAAGATAGAGATAAATTAATTATTGAGCACTGTTTTTTAGAAAATCTGCTTCAGGTTTGTCTGCCAGTTATATATGCATTTGAAAATGAAGCTTAGGAAATAGATTATTATAATGGAGCTACTTGTTCTAAGAAAATACGATTGGTAATATTTAGTTGGGTAAATTAAGGAGCTGCCACATACTGAATAAAGTATGTTATCTCATGTTTATAAGTTTTAAAACTCATACTTGGGCACAAACATACTTTAGAAAGATACTCTATGTGTGTCAGTTATTAGACTTATATGAGGATGAGCAGCTTAGGTTTACCCCTTCTCTTTAGATTAACTGCTGCTTTTGGGGTGATGGTGATAATTCCATATGGAACTCTAAGGAGTGTTATATTTTAGTTTATCTGTTTGCACAAACAAAGTTTATTAGGTAAGTTATACAGTGTTGCTCAAAAAGTATGTAGTGGCTGAAAAACTTTTTAGAAGTATTTTGACAGTCTGCATTTGGAATCATGCTATCATTTGAATCACTGTTCGTCACTTTACCTTTCACAGATCACTTTCCCAAGATATCTAATCTGTGGAATGGTATTATTGAGGATTTATAATGACACGAAGTGTATATAGTGATTATCAAAGATTCTGTAACACAGTGTCTGTTCAGTGTTTCTACTTATTTTCTCTTTTCCTTTAGAGAATTTTTTTTTTTTTGACGGCACTGGGGTTTGAACTTAGGGCCTCACACTTGCAGGCAGGTACTCTTACCACTTGAGCCACTCCAGCAGACCTTATTTGTGATGGGTGTTTTCAAGATAAGGGCTTCTGAACTATTTGCCTGGAGCTGGCTTTGAACTCTGATCCTCCTGAGCCCTGCCTTCTGAGTAGCTAGGATTACAGGCATGAGCCACTGGTGCCCAGCAAGAGAATGGATTCTTAATGTAAGGTGCATGGATAGAGTTCAGGGTTCTTTGAACTTGGAAAGGGAAAACAATTACATTTTATTTTTACTAAGCTCCAAATGATTTAGCATTTCTTTAGTTTTGACTATTGACCACAAACTGCAGAAGTATTACCAATATATTTAACTGTCACCATAGAAATCTCAGATAATTTCATATCCAGTTGGCCCTCCATTCGGTGGATTCCATATCCATGGAATCAACTAAAAGCAGACTGAAAATATTTGAAATAAATTCCATCTGAAATGAACATGTACAGATTTATCTTGTCACTATTCCCTAAATAATGATTTATATATAATTTACATTATATTAGATAAAAGAGATGATTTATAGTATCTGGGAAGATGTGGGTAGTTTACATGCAAATAGTATGCCATTTTATGTAAGAAACTTGAGCATTTGCAGATTTTGTTATTAAAGGGAGGTGGTGTCCTACAACCAGTCCCACCAAAGATAACAAGGGACAAATGTATTATGGTTGTTGCAGGTAACTTAAAATACTGTGTAATTCATTGCTTTGAAATTACCATAATTAGACTTGTCTCTAGATATTAATGCATTAATAAAGTGCCTATTACTACATCATACATTTGTTTTTGTAAATAATTTCAGTGTGAATTTTATCCTGTATGTCTTATTTAATTTTTAGAACAGTTTTAAATTTATAGAATTGTTGCAGTGATAGTACAGAGTATTTCTATATACGCCATACCCAAGTTCTCATATTGTTAATAACCTACAGAGTATGGCATATTTGTCCTAATAATTGCACCAGTGTTACTATGTGTCATAACTGAAGTCCCTACTTAACTCAGATTTTCTTAATGTACTTTTTCTATAGCAGGATCCTACCCAGGGTAACATATTATATTAGTAATCTTGTCTCCTTCAGCCCTGTTGGTTGTGACAATTTCTCAGACCTTCCTATTTTGAAGACTATGATGGTTTTGAAGAATACTGGTCAGGTGTTTTGTAGCATGTTCCCCAAGAGGGATTTTTCTCCTGGTTAGACCAGATAATATGTTTTTGTCATGAAGGCCAGAAAGAAAAAGTGCCATTTTCCTTACATTATTTATGAGGCATACATTTTGTTAAATTAACATGACTAATAACCATTAATGTTAACCTTGATCAACTGACTGTGGTATAGTGTTTGTCAGGTTTGTCCCCTTTGAAGTTATTCTATTTCCCTCTTCCTTACTTACCACTAAGTTCATGACCAAAGAAGAAACTAACAAGAAAAATATATAAGTTTAACTTTTACATGACATGTGAGCCTTTATAAGGAGATGAAAACTCAGAGAAACAGTTCAGCTTGTTTCTTTTTGTGTTTAGGTTTGATGATAACATAGACAGTCATGGAGAAGTGTGATTGGGCAAGGGGTATGGTCCCATTAATAAACTAAGGGGAATTTAGCAAATCCTGTTTGTTCAGGTTCTTCTCTGTGCCTTCAGAAATAAGACTGTTTCTTCTGGGAATAGGGAGAGTCTCTCCAATGAGGAGGATCTTAAGATCTGTTTGAAGAAGAAAGGATAGGAAAAGATCAAGAGTAACTTCATAGTATGTGATCTGCTTTGGAGGAAGATGGGTTTGAGGAAAGTAAAAGCGGCTTTCCTTGCTTCTGCTTTCTCTTATGCCAAAGTGCCATGTTTTGGGATGGTGTGCTCTGAATCTCATTGGAAGAAAGCCATTTTACACAGATTACATTTGTGCTCCATTACCTTAAGAGTGGATTATTCACAAAGATTATCTGGAGTCTGTTTATTTTGTTATGTGTATCTAAAACATTATAAGAACAGATCAGTAAGATTCAGCATTTTGCCAAAAGGGTCTGTGGCACAAAAGTGAAGAATTCTAGTGTTAAAGTATGTATCTATGCCATATAAGCACAGCCCTTCTTTTTGAAAGAGAGAGACTGAGTTTTTTGACAAGCTAAAATCCAAACCTTTTAGCCTGGTATTTTAGGCCTTGTCTTTTTTGTTTTTTTGTGTTACCACATTCCTTTGTCCTGTTCCCTGATTCTGTACAGCTCCCTTGTGACCCTGTGAACAGGTTACTGTTCTATTTTTAAGCCTGAGTACTTTTTGTAGGAATGTCCTTCCTACTAACCTTTATTCCCATCAAAGTGCTGCCTCAGCTTATCTTTTCTGTGAAGCCTTCTCTGCCTTATGCCAAACAATTTTACATGTATCTCTGTTATTACCTGTCTTTGTTGCTTGTTGTGTATCTGCTTAGGCAAATTGCAAGCTCTTTGAGAGAGCCACTTCAATGACTCATTTTACCATTATTCTATTATTCTGTTTTTTTTTTTTTTTTTGGAGGTAGGGTCTTGTATCCCAGGCTGGCCTTGAACTCACAATCTGAACTCACAATCCTCCTGCCTTTACCTCCTGAGTTCTCGGAGGTCTATTTACTATTTATTTGTTATAGTACAGTTAGGCAGCACAGGCTAATACTTATTGAATGAAGATTGAATAAGGTAGTAAAGTGGGAGTGGGGAAAGACCACCATGTGATTGGATTCATTCTGCAGAAGTGTTAGGGATGTGCCTTCCCCATTGAATTCATAATAGTCCTTATGAATCTTAACATTGCACATGCATAACCTTTTATTTTTGTAATTTTAGTTTAAGCATTTATTTTAAGAGATATTTTATTTTTGTTATTTTAGTAAGATACACTTGTCAAATCTCAGCCAGTCATGGTGGTACACACTTGTAATCCCAGCACTTAGGGAGCCTGAGCAGGAGGATAATGAGTTCTAGGCTAGCCTGAGTTACATGAGGAGACCTGACTCAAAAACAAACAAACAACAACAAAAGCCCAAATGCTAACAATAACTTAGATGTAATCTTGAGGTCTTGCCATGCTCTCTCTCTTGAGAGTGAGTCTCCTTAATCAAGTTAATGACTTTTTATTTTTTGGTAGTATTGGTTGGGGTTTAAACTTAGGGCTTCACACTTGCTAGGTGGGCCCTCTACCACTTGACAACTCTGCAAGCCCTTTTCTGTGTTGGGTTTTTTTTTTGAGATAGGGTCTCTCAAACTGTGTGCCCGTGTTGGCTTCTTGATCTCTGCTTCCTGAGTAGCTGAGATTTATAGGCATGAGTCACTAGTACCTGGCTAATTTTGAATATTTCTTTTGTCTTTCTAGAGTTTCGAGACATTTTTTTGTGTTTCCTAAAAATATTTTTTATTATCTATGTAAAGTTTATCCTGATATATATATCTTTTACATTGAGTATTTAAACTCCAGTTTGTAGTGGTGTGTCAGGTGGACAAAGGAAGATGCAAGGTAGATTAATTTTTCTGGAAACTTTCTCCCATCAAAGTACTAACCAGGCTCAGCCCTTCTTAGCTTACGAGATCAGACAAGATTGGGTGCGTTCAGGGTGGTATGGCCATAGACTGGAAACTTTCTGACAAGAAATTAAGTGGTGATTAAATTAAAGCATTTTAATATTCGTCCTCAAAAGTAGTTGTTTTTTTTACGCTTGGCCTCCTAGGCACCCAGGAGACAGATTTCATTTAACTCCTCAGGGTCCTTAAAATTTAAAGCTACCTAAGGAAGTATTAGTTGAGAAACATTTTAAGCAAAAATGAGAATCAGAATGGTGTTCTGAGACTGAGAGGATAGGAATTCTTTCCTTAGGGTAATAGGGAAGAGATAATAGGAGTTTTGAGTACAAATAGTAATATTAAAATGACCTATAAACACTAAGGCTATTTAGGGGGAGGTAAGCTCACTTTTAGAATTGATTTTCCAGATACTTAAAGGCCCAGACATATTATCATTTCATAACTGTCTGAATTTTAGGCAGATTCACTTTCTTCCTAAATATTGCAATTAGGATGGGGAAAAAGCATTGACATCAAGAGAGGCAAAATAGTTTAAGGGCTCAAGTAGTTGTGTACAATTTTTGTAAAATTTATGATATACATCTTAAATGATAGAAATACTATACTGTGCTATATGGCTTTAAGGAACAACTAATATGGAAATGAAGCATTTAACATTTGGAAGTTAGTAGTAGAGCAAACTAACACTAAGATGAAGGAAATTCAGACTTGAGAGTCAAATACAAAGAAGCAGAGTACTTGTGGCTTTTATGAGAATTGCTTTTTTTTTAAAAAAAACAAAAGAAGATGACAGAACCAAAGGGAAACACAGGTACCATGAAAACAAACTTAACAACAAAAACCAATCCTCAGGACTTCATAATTCTACAGACCACGATGATGCTGTGCCATTGTTAAGATTCCTATTTAGTTCAGCTGTTTTAGTGTGACCTTATAAAGATTAAACTCATTATTTTTGTGCTTGGTACCTAAGTTCTTAAGCCTCTTATATTCCCAATCTTTGTAGTACCACTCACTTTGTTAAACAAAAATGGAAATTTTAGGCTCATCCTTTGTGTTTTCTACTTGGCTCTCCATGCATAAGAGATCACGTTCAGGTCACCAAATATGAACCTTTGTTCCATAGCCTCATGAATAAAGACTGATTTATTTTCTTCTGAGCTTACTATACGGCTTATCTGTTAGAAGTCTCACTATGATATTTTTAGAGGTAATGGGTATTTATATTTTGCCACTAATGAGTGAGCTTTTAAAAGAGTAAGTTGAAGGAGAAGAGAAGTGAGAATGAAGACCTTAGAGTTTTAAATTATTTGTTCCTTTGTCCTTAATGATTGGTCCTGAAAATTTGAGGTTTTACTTGCACTTAATTTCTCTAACTTGTTCATACTTTGACATGTGTAATACCAAAGAACAAAACTTCAAAC